CACACATACACACACACACACACACACACACACACACACACACACACACACACTTAAACACACACATAAACATGTATTTCCACATTACAACCAGACCCGGCAACTATTCTCACCGTCAAGACAAAACACATCGGTATGGCTGCTTTCTATAGATCTAATTTTTTTTAAATTGGTAGGCCACGATCAGTCTGTGCCTATTCTCTTTCCTTCTTCCTTCCTTCCTTTTCTTTGACAAATTTTGATATACTCAGCCTTAAAATGACTTATCCATGTGAAGCAAATCGTCAAACTAATAAACATTCGTCTTTCTTTTACACCCTCATGCTTGTGAGCAGATAAACATAAAAGTGCTCTTACTTGACATTTTAGCAGCAAACGTTCTGAAGACACTCTCAGAAGTGGACGATTCCAGACGAGAGAGAGAAGTTGACAGAAAGTTTTTTTTAATGTAAATTTTAATTATGAAGGCAGAAACCCCTACCTTTCAGTCTCAACATTCTGTTCTTCCTCCATCCGATTTATCTTCTTTTTATCTTTTACTTATAGTAATGGTTTACCAGTTTTTTCCCAAACAAAAACTAGTCAACTATTACCTTTGCACCCTTGCCCCCCCCCCCCTTCCTTATACAAAAACAAAAACACATTTTTAAAAAACCCAAATTCTCAGAGAACTGGCTCGAAGAAGCCTACTTAAATAAATGTGAGGCAGCGTGGTGGAATCAGGCTCTCGTCAAAATTATCAAAGTCAAGAAACTTGCATTGTTCCACAGGTTTGTGAATTTTCATCAAATTTTTGTTTTTGGCTCAACACCTTTCATGCCCATTAAAGAACTCATTTCTGTGTGGATTTTTCTGAAAAGGGTAGATTAAAGGCACAAAAAAGTAAATTTTCAGTTACCACGGACTCTTAAGCTAAGGAAATAACTAATCTTTGGCGGCCATTTTCTCACTAATATTACCTCTGAAAAAAGGTGACCCCCACCTCCTTCTTTCTCCAATATCTCTACTTGTATTTAAGATAAATGGATATTTTTTTCATCCAAATAAAAACACGTAAACAAGCTTTAAGATAATACCAATAACTCTACAAGCCCAAAAATTGACGAGAGCCTGATCCACCACGCTGCCTCACAAATGCTCTAAATAAAACACTAACACCTGATCATCTTGGACTTTTAATGGTTTTGCTTCTTCCTTTGGACTTATATGTATTTCTCAGCTCAAGAACAGATTTCACTCCTTGTGAACAAAAAAATAGATCGATTTTGGATTCCTTGAGACAAGTCACGATATTTGGTGTGCCTGGCAGATAAGTGGTATTAGAATATCCAGAGTGTGAGTAGAAGGAACAACGAGTTTTGTTTCTTCACTCAATTCTTGGCTGGAGTTGTCTTAACTTCCATTTCTTTTTTCAAATTTGAATGTTTCGTTTTTATTATATGTAATATGTAAAAACTATCATCGTCTGCATGCTCCCAGTGTCGGTCTAACACCACATCTGTGTTGTAATGGGTAGTCTCTTCGTCGGAGCGCACACAACACGCTAGTTTGATTCCTGTATATTATTTAAAATATATATTTTATGCCCTGCTTGGATTTTATGTATGTAGGTGGGCGGTATGTTAGCCTTTTAAAGGTGGCAAATGTGGTGCTGGCTACAAACACGTTGACGGGCATCATAATAGATCAAACATCAAGTGACAAAGTAACTGACAATATCTAAGCAGAGACTTGATAGACCAACAAGGGCGTTCCAATCCAACACCTACCTGATCTCCTCTCTCACGGTTGGATAGAAACCGTGATCTCCAAGATACAAGACACGATGGAACACCACACTCTTCGAGAACAAGGAAGGCAAGGGTAACTTCGACAGTTACATGAGCATATCGATTCTCAAATCACCAGCAAAATTTTTGCTCTTCTCCAACTTGAAACTTCATCAAAATTTCGCTGACAAAGTTCTTCCTAAATCTTATTTGGGCTTCAAGGCTAACAGGCCAACCATCGACATAATTCTTATGACAGAAAAGTAAAAGAGTAAGGTCAAGACCAAGAAAGACCACTCTGCGTGGATTTTATAGCCTCAAAACAAAACGTTTGACACAGACAACAGGTCAGGCCTCTTCAAGGTACTTGAGGCTGTTGGATGCTCACCAACACTGTAAAACGTGTTGAGTCATTCCATGAGGACATTAAAGCCATGACGGCTGCTTATTCGACTGTTCTGAGATCTGGAGTGGGGAAAAACAAGGCTTTGTTCTGGTTCCTCCAATGTATGAGATTTTCTTTTCAACCTTGCTCCCTACTGCCCATAGCATGATTGTAGGAAATGCGTGCATCTACCTCCACACCAGAGTGAATGGTTCATCGATCAACCTCTCACGGCAAAGGTCAGTGACTAATATGAAGAAGGTCATGCTGAGAGAACTCCTTTTTGTTGATGACAGCGGAGTAAAATGACTCTGCAAGACATGATAAACAGCATGAACAGTGCTTGTTAAATCGATGTTCTCTCTCTCTCTCTCTCTCTCTCTCTCTCTCTCTCTC